TGACAGACAGGCAGAGGATAGCAATGTCCAGGAAAGGACAAGACTCCAGTGTCTCTGGTGCCTCAGAAGATGGTGGTAAGGGAAACAGGTTGCATTTCTAGGCCTTGTCCTGTGATTTGGAGAGAGGGACATCAGGAGGAACACGTCCCAGTCGTTCTCTGTCATGGCTCATGTCTCATATGATCACAGGTGGGACTTTCCAGAGGTGGCTGGGCCTACAGTGTGTGATGCTGGGATTAAGGGTATGATGTTGGGATCAAGGGTGTGTGGTTACTAAATGGGTCCACTGATTGGTTTGGCATAGTTCTGGGAGTGAATAATGGAAAGTTCCACCCTAGGTGTGAGTGCTAGCCGGGTAGCCGGGATAAAATACGAGAGACAAAAAGAGGGCTGGGGTGGTTGCATGTTGCTTGCTTATACTTTATTTACTACCTCACGGCTTTACTGCCTTCTGCTCACCATGAACTGGGTCTCCTATGTGATACCCCTCTGCCATGCTGCCCCGTCTCTGAGCCAGCCAACTATGGAGTGAAACCTCTACAAACTGTGACCCAAATAAACCCTTCCTCCTGTAACCTTGGGTGTCAAGTATTTTGTCTCAGCAATAAGAAAAGTAACCAAGACACTCTCCTTGGGTCCAAGCTGTTGTACAGTGCATGCTCAAAACTATTACTCAGTCCCATACTGTTGTCTGAGTATCAAGAATAGTTTAACAATAGTTCTCCCCAGAATTGACCATAAGATCGTCTCTCTTTCTGTCTCTCTGTCTCTCTGTCTTTCTCTCTCTGTCTTTGAGTCTGGTCACCTGCTTTTGTGTTTTCATGAGCTTCATATTTGTATTTGGGGGATGCATATCAAGGTTCATAACATCAAGCTAAATCAGAATTCTTTACTTCTAAAGTTTAATTTTCATTGACTTTTATTTGTAACTTTTCTTCTCAACTCAGTGGTCATTATAAACACACACAATTATCTACACACTTAACATAGCGACCATGTCTTTGGCTACCGATGTGCAGAAGACAGTGTTCCTACACCAAATGGTCCCTATTTGTTGCACCTTTAAAATCAAAATCCCTTTGGTTCTTTTTTCTCTCTCCTCTGCATCTTCCCCCGCTCCGAGTACTAGATACTGAAGCCACGACCTTAGCATTAAGCAACTACCCAGCGTTTTTGTTTATTTGCTTTCATTTTGAGACAGAGTCTCACTAATTTAAGGTGCTGGGGTTGGATTTGAACTAGTAATTTTCCTGTCTCGGCTTCCCAGAGTGCGAGGATTGCTGGCATGCACACCATGCCCACCTCCTTCCTCACCCTTAAGTGGAGTAACCATTTCTCATGGGTTCTCTCCAGAGCCAATCTGCCCCTCACCTTAAAGGCTAACATGAAGCCTTTTTAAAAACTGACTCTACTTGTTTCTGGTAAAGGAAAAATAAAATCTCAACTGGGAAGAAAATTGACAAAGAGGTCTAATGCATTTCCACTGCTAGGTTTACTCACCAAGTGGTGCTTTGTCCTGTTTAGACTCCTCTAGTTACAGGGAACTCACTACTGGGGTATTAAATTCTATGATGGCAAATCTGATTGCCAGAGTTACTTCCTATACTGATCTGATTTCACCTTTGCATTCCCTCTTGCTGTTCCTGGTTAAACCATATATGGAGTCAAATCTGTTCTGTCCCCACATGAGCACCTGCCAGATACCGAGCACAGGTTCTGTGCTCCTTCCCGCCCCAGATTCTTCTGTGGCATAAACAGGCATGGCTCCTCCCATTACGCCTGAAACTTCCTGTGATGAAAGAGTGGCCCCAGGAGCTGTTACTTCAGCTAATGCAAAGCAGGAACAAGACTGAGTGCCAGGGGAGAGCGGCCGTCAGCCAGTCCCAGGGTCGTCAGGAGATGACTCTCACCAAGGACATGAGATGGCCACTTACATGGAATAAGTAGAGGAGCCTAAAAAAGAAGCTAATTCTGAGGCTGGGGATTTAGCTCAGTGGCATAAGCACTGTCCAGCAAGCACGAGGTTGTGAGTTTGATCCCTGACATTCATTTGGGCATTAGTTTGTGAGATGTGGAAGGAACCCAGCAAAGGACGTGATCACTATCCCTAAGCTTGAGTGTCTGTGTGTGGGGTTTACAGCAGAACTCCATGCTGAGTTTATTATTGCTCAGATATTTCTATTACTTTCATTAGAAAATATGAGCATTGGCCAGGTATAGTAGTGGACAACTGTAACTCCTAGAAGGCTGAGACAGGAAGATTAAAAGTTTGAGGCTAGCCTGCCTTACATAGAGACCCAGTCTCAAAAAAAAAAAGAAACAAAGATAAAAATCACCTGACTTGTATTTTGGACACTTGTATTTAGTTATGAACTGGCATCTGTTGAACTGCTAAGAATTCGGTGGTTTTAATTAAGCATGGACAGAAGAATAAATCAAGTTAAAAAAAGCACTGGAGCTGGAAGCGGAGGGAAACACATTTTGGGACTTACGTTAAAGGATCCTGTGAACAAGTGCCCAACGTCCCTACCTCAAGGTGGCCATTACAGCTTCCTGTTAGGCCCAGGGCTGCAGCCCAGCCCTGCGAGGAAGCAGCTTGCCCTGTCCCTGGCACCATGCATGCCTTCCCCGCGGGAGGGCCTCCCTTCCAGCAGGTCATGGGGTCCAAGTTGTCACCTTGAGCTTCAGAAGCTGATGGGGGGGAGCAGTGTCGGCTGGGCAGGCGGCTGCGGAGCGCTGACCCCCCCAGGCGCCGTATGGATAAGCTTGCAGACAGCCGCCAGGCCCTGCTGATAGCAGGCACATAATTGGCACATGTTTAAAAAAAAATTAAAAACCTCTTGGATGGGAGTTTTTCCTAACAGCATCTGGCGGGAGTGCCGGGGAGGAATTTAATCAGCAGGAGTTGTTTAATCGGGGCTCCGTGCAGAGCTGGGGATGAACTCCGCCTCGAGCCACCCCTGTCTGGGGAGGACATTCAATTTGTTAATTCTGCAGCCGGTGAGAGAGGTCAGATAGGAAAGTGACGATTGTTTTCTGATGCTCCAACCCCTGCCCACATCTTTCTAATTAATCCTTTTAGGAGCTGTGGAGAGAAGAGGGGAGGAAGCCAGCAGGAGAGAAATGGATGGGAAGAGAATGCCCCACTCCTGTCCTCAAATAGGAGGATGTGGGGGCTGGTAGGGACCAGAAAAGGAAGGGGAGGCCCGCCCTGCTCTCTCCAACACAAAGAAAAACAGATGCTGGAGGAGATGGTGACCATGAGGGCCCCCACCCCAGGCGATGTCTGTTTAAACAAGGAGGAGGATGGAGCCGAGGAGGATGGAGCACTCCATCCATCCATCCATCCATTGCTGGTCTTGGGCGGCCATCGGGAGCCAGGAGATGGGAGACCTTCTTCTGATGGACAGGGCCAGCCAGAGTGAGTGTGACTAGCAGTTAAAGACCACTGGTCACTGACTTGAAGAATGTCCCGCAGAGCCAGGGGCCTAGGTGGGTGTCTGCCTCACTGCAGGCCTTGTGGCTACTGGTGCCTGGAAGCTGTCACTGGTGTGTAGCTATCCTCTGTCCCTTGGTCTTTCTACATCACTTTCCCTTCTTCTCCTCCCCATGACCCTCAGCTGCAGACTTCCCTGCCCCCCCCTGGATCAATGGCAGTCCCATTGGCGGGGAGGTCATAGTGGGCGGGCCTCACCTATGGACATTCTCCTTGCTGCTGGCCCGGCTTCCTGCATCCCCTCTACCCGCCTGCCACCTGGTCACTAGTGTCTTTGTGCACTAATACCCCTCAGGGTATCCCCACTGAGAATGTTCCTTCCTGTTACAAAATCACTACCCATGCCCAATGGACAAGGCAAACCCGAGCTTGCAGCTGGCCCTGTTCATGGCAAGGACACAAGGAAGCTACCTAACCTGTGAAATAACCCAAACCAGACACCTAGTAGTTGCTTAGTTAATACCAACTTCTTTGCTTATAAGATCCTTAAGGTGGGAGAGACACAGAAATCAGTGTAGTATGAAATGAAGGGATGCAATGGGCAATTGAATCATTATGAAACTGAAGATCTGGGGACATTTTTCCTGCCACAGTGACTCCTCTATCTGAGCGCTGTCTGTCCATAGCCGGCCTTGGGCACAGGTGTGTGTACCGTCTACACACTGTGGCCACTCAGCTTTTTATTACAGTCACTCAAGGCCTAAATGTCTTCATCCTGAAAACATTGTTGGATGCTCTGATGGGTGCCAGGACTGTGCGTTACTCCAGAGATCTAGAGATGACTCAGACATAGCTCAAGATCTCAGGTACCCCCATCACCTGGGGAGGTGGGCCCTGAATATGGAACTCTGGTCCAACAATGTCAAGCACCAAGTTGGCTGGGATTCCTTCCACAATTGTGGGTGCATGTGTGTCAGGGGAGGAGGATCTGGGAAGGCAGACTGTATCATGCCACCCCTACACCTCCAAGGAGCAAATCAGACCACCAGGGCCCACACAGGAAAGTCTGGAGGGCTTTCAAAGATGGGCATCCCAGAAAATAGGGGTGAGCCTCTGGAAATCTGCTGACAGTGTACAGTGGCTGTCACATCAGGCTTCAGGTATTGACAACAGGGTGATTCCACTGGAAATAAGGACTTTGAACAAGAAAGAGATCTGAAAACCTGAGAATTTTAGCGTTGATTCTGGTGGCAAAAGACAAGAATCAGGAATTTTGCATTTTAAGTAGAAAATGCTGTGTGTGTGTGTGTGTGTGTGTGTGTGTGTGTGTGGTAATTGCCCCTGTCCCAACAGTAGAGCCTTCCTTCTCCCCACCTCCCAGTGAGATAGGGCCTTGTTTGGGGAACTTGAATGATACAAATCCAGGGGCCTTCCCGCTACCCCCAGGGGCTTCAGGGGAGGGTTGTCACTGTCTGTGCAACTCAATAGCAAGGGGCCTCTCCCCAAGTTGAAAGGGGCATCTTTTATCTTTCCTTGACCCTTTGGATCCTTCTCCTCTCTTCCTTCCTCCTGTACACACAGCCTAATCCACTTTTAAAAAATACAAGAGAAATTATAGTCTCTCAGCTGTTTTTATTTACACATGGTCCTGCAGAAATGCCCAGGACAAGGAAATTCTAAGGGTTTGATGACTTGGTCAGAAAGCAGAGAAGTCAGGGAAAGAAAGCACAAATAGATGCATCATCCATGAGATATCCTGCCCAGCACCTGTAGAAGGCCCTGATATTATAATAAAATAGGGCAATCCACATGCGGAGTATGTCGATTGAGGAAATTATATGTGCTTTTGGCAAAAGCGTCCAACGAACTGAAATGATAATAGGACTTTTAAACTTGAAATTAAGAAGGAATTAATGACCTAAAATAGCATCTACCAGACAATATACTTCCTAAGAGCACAAATTAGCTGCTTGTTGTAATGTCTTAGACTTTAAGAGTTTGCATTTCATCTCTGAGTGCTATCACCTTGGAAATTCTTTTAAAGATTTCCTGAGCCTTAGTTTCCTTGGCTAAAATGGGGTTCTCCTTTAGCCTTGTGACAATCAGTTCATAAAAGGGCTGGGCAGAAAATATGCATTGAAGAAATCCTGTCCAGGGAGATAGAGCGACAACAGGACAGGCTGACAGGAGCACAGGCCCCTTGATTTGCTTGATGGACTAATGTCAAATGCTTCAAAAGCTTGTATGGTTAAATGTATGTTTTCCTTGACATCACTGTGAGAGTTTGCACTTTGGAATGGCGTTTAAGCCTTTCATGAGCTCTCAGTCAAGTGTAACTTCTACACTAGGGTCTCAACCGAGGTCTCTGCCCTGCATCTACAAAGACCGAGGGCAGGGAGAGAAGGACAGGGTCAACTGCCTCACTATCAAGGGTAAGGGCAGCACATTCTTCCCTTCATTAGCACCCACTTGTGCCTGCCAGGACAAGGCCAATCAGCTGCCTCTGCCATCTCCAGCAGAAAAGGTGGCCCCAGAGACAGGCAGCTGGGCTCCCACAGAGAAGGAATGGACTTGCAGCTTCCAGGAAAGGCCAGCTCTCCTGGCCTCAGGCCTTCCCTTAAAGTGCAAAGATCCAGCCTGAGGGCCCAGGCAGAGAAGTCTGGAGGAGCAGTAGGGCCACTACTGATCATAAGAAAATTGCTCCTCAGGGCAGCAGAGGCCTCCGAAGTGGCAGGAAAGCAAACCTCCCAGTGTAGTGGTCAGCAAGGGAGGTAACTATACTGAACCAGGAACAGCAACCTGTGGGCTCATAGTAGAGGGACAGAGAGGGGTCCACCAACTGCAGCCTAAACACTGTGTGTGAGAGGGCACTGGATTCACCAGTTTCCAAAAGAAGTTTGACATTTAAATATTCACATGAAAATATGTGCAATACATGAGATTTCCCATTTAAATGTTCACACATTTAATGGTGATGATCTCCATATTTTTGAAGCGCTGTGTAGGTCAAACAAAGCACACTTAAAGGGTCATTTCCAGCTCTCAGATTGCCACTGTCTCAGTCAAATGCAAACCAAATCCAGGCCACGAAGCCAAGGTGATACTGAGTCAAAGATATAGTCAGTGGCGAAAATCACAGAGGAAAATGCTGTGTTTCCAACAGAAAGAGCACCGGAATCTGGAGGCAAGTACAGAATTACCAATGCACACAGGCCAGTAAGTGAACGAGGGATGTTTTAACGCTGACAGATTCTGTCTTCTGGACATGCAGCTATGTTCCAGGCATTCCTCCTAGTCACCCTGTAGACTGAGTCAAAGCCACCCACCGCCCTGTGTGCAGAAGAGGCCAATGAATTACCATTTTGTAGATGGTACTAATGAGGTTATAGAGTGGTGATCATTTTCATGTATTCAGGTTGTATCATACTTTAATTTCCTAGGTTATGAATGCAGAAGTAAAATTATTCTTGCATTTGACTTAGGCTGTGCATCAACGTCCACCAAAGACTGTGCCAGGTGTCAGGTAGTGTTCATACAATTCTTCCTCTGCTCTCATACATTTAAACCCTTTTGTAATTAGTTTAGGGTCACGTGACTCTGGCCAGTGGGCTGTGAGAAGAAATGGCACACTCGAAGGATACACAAGAGACATAAGTTTCCTGTGTCTCTTTGCTACGTACCAAGGCAATGCTGAGAGTCAAGCACTGAGATAGTATGTGGATCAACCATAAACAGCCACTGGATTTGCATGAATGAGACATAAGCTTTGTGTAACGTTGCTGAAATTTTCAAATTACTCATTATAACAACAGAGCCTAGCTTAGCCTCATTAATGCATACCATTTTATAATGCTATCAAAAATAAACATCAATATCATTTGTATTTGTTTCTCTAGCATTTGTCACTGCCATTTAAATATTTATTTAACATATTAAGGGATGATATATTATTCCTCAATTTTGTTTAACATTGTTGAGTCATTTGTAAGGTTATTTTTCATGCCTATTAATTAGTTCTAATTGTCATTTTATAAATTATCAATTGTTATTTCATTAAAGATTCTATTGAATTCTAATATTTCTCTTTTTAAAAGTATTAAACCTTTCTATGATAAAAAAATATTTAAATCTTTGTCAATAGAGTAAAAATATTTCCAGTATTTGTTGCTCCTTTGTTTGGTTCATTTTAATGGCAGTAAAACTGTGTGCGTAAATCAGTTACGCTTTTCACCTGTAAACATTTCAGATCATTTTTAAAGTTAAAAATTCACCCTCAACAAAAGTCTGAGATATTTAAGTTTTCTAAACTGGTTTTAAATTTGGATTTGGATTTATTTTGGTTTATAATAAAAATGATGGTCTAAAATAGTATTTTATTATAAAGTACTAATCAATTATTCCATACATTTAAATATATTATCTTTCTGCCAGATTAACTAAGACCTATTTCACAAAGTACTTAATTTAAAAATAAAATATTACTTCCATGCTATCTATTCTACTGACAGAGCTACAGTATCATTGAGGCAGTGCCTTGAAATTTAAATTACTGTAACGTTTCAATGTGACAATGTCAGGAAGAGCTAGAAGGGTTTTTTCCTACTTTCATGCTTGTCTTCTTTATATAATGTCTTATTTTCCTGGTTTACCTTCTCTGTCAGGTGAGATTTTAAGTTATTTTATCATGATCCCTGCAAAACATCCTGTATATAGTTCACTGGGATTGCATCTTGCTAATATATTAATGGGAGAGAAGACATTCATGATATTTGATTTTTCATTTAAGGCTATTGCCATTTTTATATGTTATCTCCCAGGTAACAACAAAGAAAGTTGTTATAGAGTACAAATGAAAGAAAGTGAGAAGAAGATCAAATTGTGTCACTGCAAACAGTGAACTAACCATGAAAGACAACAAGGGGGAAATAAAGAACAAAAAATTATAAGACACATAGAAAATAGATAAATGCAAAAGTAAGTCCTTTCTTACTGGCAACTACTTTAAATATAAAAGACACCAATTAGCAGAATGGAAAAAACTGAATGCTGCCCACAAGATATTGACTTTAAATCTAATGAAACAGTTTGGTGAATGTAAAAGCATGGATAAAGCTATTCTATGCAAACACAGATTAAGGCAACAATATAAAATTTTGAAATCTAAAATGTTCCAAATCAGAAACTTATGGCTATTTACTCTATGTAATAAGAACCAACATTGTACTACAAGTGGAAAAGTTCACACTATGAAACTAATGAACAAATTGTTAAACATATTCTACGAAATTACTTTTAGGTTACATAAATTTTGTATTTTGATGGATGTCCCATCCTCAAGATATCTTATTATGTATGTGCAAATATTCTAAAATCTTCAAGAAAGAAATCCCAAATCTGAACAAGCTTTTTGGATAAAAGAAACACAAACTAGTAGTTTAAATGGAGATGAGGTGACTAATATCAGATGGACTTTAAGTTTAAAAAGTTGCAAATCAATTCTCCATGCAATACAACAATTATAAAAATAAATGTGCCAAGTATCATAGCTCCAAAATACATATATAATATAATACCTATTCCTAGAACTAAAAGAAGTTGAGTGTTATAGTTGGAGATCTTAATACTATTGTAACTCCACTTTTGCTACTCATGTAGAACATCAGACAGAAAAGCATTAAGGAGACAGAAGTCCTGAACAAAGCCTCATGCAGAATTCATAAGCAAAAACAAAATTTTGCCAAATGCTTCCGTTTGTGACCCAAACTGTTTGCCAACAAAAGCATTCATGAACTGAGGTACCACTGTATATGATGTTTTCATGATTGAAGAAAATGCCAATCTTGAGGTTAATGTTCTTGACAAATTACTTATTTGAGCCTGGTTTCTTCTGGTATGAAACGTATGCAAGACCAATACAAGGCAGTGAAAAAAAATTGAGGGTGAAATCATTGAGGGTGATCAATTGAGGGTGTTGAGGGTGAAAAAAAGTGAAGGATTAATAACAGTGCGGTAAAAGTTCTTATGTCTCACAGAAGAAAATAAAAACTACATTGTATGAGATAAAGCCATCATCATGCCCATCTGGGCAGCTGCCTGCGGAAGTCCTGACAGTGGGTGTGTGGCAGCCCCCAAAGCCAAGGGACCCATCTGGCCCCTGCCAGGAAAGCTGGAGTGGTCAGCCTGAGGCTCACATTTCTGAGCCAAATTAGGAAGCACAACTAGTCTCTTTGTCAAGATGATGATACCCAAGAAGTGGAAACCAAAGTTGGTGGACAAAAGTGGTTTCAGAGGCTTTAGTAAACACTCAGGCTGTGGAGTTAGAGGGAGGTTAGCTCCATCGTAGCCAAACCAAGCCTCATGGATTAAATGCATGGCCAGGATAGTCACCACAGAACAGTGCCCACCAGCTTTGTACCTTGTGCTCAGGTCCAGATTCTGAGGGAACCTTGAAAAGGAGCCACACAGATAAAGACCTATTCCCATGACAGGGATGACATGGAAATGATGCCCAACTTTCTGGCAGAAAATCAACCTGTGATTTTCAATATCTGGGTTAAGGAATGCCCAAAAACCTGGAAAAGGTGCTTTGTTTCTAAAAAAAAGAGCAGCATGTGAGTCCAAGCTGAGGAGAGAGGATAATCAGTGCTCTGCATCATGGTGTCACTGCCATCCCAGGTCCCCAGCATGTGGCCAGCCTGCAGCCAGCCTGCAGTGGCTTCCTCAGCCTGCAGAGTGGCCTCAGTTGGCCCTGATGAATCTCCTGTCATCCAGCCCTTGGCTGTGTCCTTCTGGGGAATATGACTGATTCACAATCCATCTTTCTCTTCCCCTCCCTTCCCATTCTCTTCTCCTCTTTTCTTTTTCTCCTTTACTTCACTTTTTCTTCCTTTCATCCACTCATTCCTTCGACAAATATTTCTTACATACCTACTATAAATCCAAGAATGCCCTGGGCCCTCATCATAGAATAAGACAAAATCTCTCACCATCCCATCAAACTTACATTCCAGACAGGAATCACAAACAGACAGATCATCAACAAATACTGTGTGACTTTATGTGGGGCAGTGATAGATTATGTAAAGAAAAATAAAGCAAAGTAACGGGAATGGATAGGGCAGCAGGCGCTTTTAGATGAGAAACTCAGGAAAGGCCTCTCTAAGGAGAAACGGTGGCAGGAGACACAGGTGCAAAGGCCCTGAAGCCAGGGAATTCTTGCCACATGGGAGATGTAGAAAAGTGGCAGTGTGTTTGAAGCCCATCAGGGAGCAGGGAGCTGGGCTGCTGGAATAGAGGAGTAGCTTCCTGCAGGAGCTTGTACTCCGTGGGGTTTTGCCTTATGGTAAAGCAAAAAATCCAGGATAAAGAAAGCCCTGGAGGTTATGAGCAGAGGAATGAGATGATCTGACTCTTGTTTTACAAACTTATTCTGAATCAGGTATAGTATGCACACCTGTAATCCCAGAACTCAGGAGGCTGAGGCAGGAGGATTGCAAGTTCAAAACCAGCCTGGGCTACATAATGAGTCTCTGTCTCAAAAAAAAATTATTTCATATATACACTCAAGTGTATGGGGAAAGAATGCTAATTTCCACAACTTATTTTGAAATCAAACAAAAAATAAGACAATGGAAGGATGGATGGAGGAGCAGACAGATGGAGAGAGCTAGGAAGATAAGAATGTTCAGGACTGACTGTAGGCTGTAGTGGGAGCAGGGGCCAGCATGGTGGCTAGAAATGGGACTCACCATTCACCAGCAGCATGGCGGCACACATCTGTAATCCTAAGCCTGTGGGAGGCTGAGGCAGGGAGATCATGGGTCCTAGTCCAACCTGAACAATTTTAGGACTTAGCAAGTCTCTGTCTCAAAAATAAAAAAAAATAAAAAGAAGGTTAGGGAGGTAGGTCTGTGTGAAGGTCTTGGGTTCCACCCTATTGTCACAAAAACAAAGAGAAAGAAAGAATCAGGATCTGCAGCCTACCATCGTAGCCTGAGCACTCTGTGATCCTCCTAATGACTTTCCTGTGTCTTGAAACTTTCAAATTTTGGCTAAACCCAGGAGTAAAAAATGCCAAAATACTATGAATGAGATATCCTTTTACAGTGATGCTGGGAAATCCATACAATACGTCCAGTAAATTGGAATTTCTCTGCCAAAGCTGCTGAATCAATTGATTGCTCCCGTGAACATCCTCTCAGTGCTCTGCCTTCATGTCCTCTGTCACTCCTGGCCGCCCCCTCCCTCCAGTACCCCCCTGCAGTCGCCCACTCTCCTGGAACCTCTGAGTCACTGTATAAATAACAAAGAAAACTAACCAGAAGTCAGAAGGTCACAGTCCCAAATGCCGCTTGGAAAATCTGCCCTTTTCCCACTAGCACGTGGCATCTTTAGTTTCCTGGTGGAGTAAGTTTTGTGAATCCCAGTGATGAAATGGCCCCAGGGTGGTATTTTGGGCTCCGCAGGAATCCTGGTCCAAACTCCAGCCAGGACGATGCTGAAGGCAGGGTGGCTCCTCTGCTATATATCACTGAGGGGCCACAGGACCCGGGCGTCCCCAGGGCCTCTCACTGGGATGTGTGCTTCGCCTGCTCTCTCCATGCAGTGGTGGCTTTGAACATGCTTCTTGACCTCAGAGCCACCTAGTGAGTGTGTGCGCCAGGTGCCAATCCAGCACTTCCCCTGTAATGATGCATTCAGTACTGACACCAGCATCAGCTCTCTTTGGTAAATAAACAGAGGTACAGAAGGGTGAAGTGACTTCTCCAAGGTCATGAACCCGTAAACGGAAGGGTCAGATTTGAACACAGACCATCCAGACCTTCAGCACTGCGTGGCACCTCTTGACCCAATCCAGGCTCCTGTCTCAGTGCTACTAACCCATGTTAGCTCCATTGATGTCCTCCTGGCCAGGCCTGTCAGCTGGACTGGCCATGGATCTGATGCTCCAGCTCGATGTGCCCACCCAGGGCTCAGTGAGTCTTCTGACTTGTACAGGTGCTGAACACCACAAGGAAAAATGCAATAAGCAAAATGGGTTTGGATCCTGCCAGAATTAAAGTGAATATAGACTTTGACAGCATGAGATGGCCCCAGTGGAGGGACAGTGGGCAGGACAACAGAATCACTAAGCAAAGTTCACCACAAGGGGCAGAGACAATGACACTGTGGCCTGGCCCAAACCATAGAGCCCCAGACCAGTAGTATGTGAGGTTCTGGACCCAGAACACTGCCACATGCCTGATGTACAAGGTGTGATCAAACGCCCTGTGAATTTTTAAATAAAACTTTTAAATCAGTCAAGGTGGTGCACACCTACGATCCCAGTATTCGGGAAGCTAAGGCTGGAGGATTGCTGTGAGTTCAAGGTTAGCGTAGGCTACACAATGAGTTCAAGTTCAGCCTGAGTGACACAGTGAAACTCTGTCTCAAAAAAATTAAAAATTATTACAGTAAAAGACACATTGCCATGAATTCCCCCCAAGTCCCCCACCCCGCTACCTTTGAACACAATCATTCCACTGTTCTTACCACCTTCTGAAGCAATTCTGGGGGTCTTTACGAGGTGGGATTAAACCATGGTGAAGCCTGCATGCTTTCACTATGGTGAAAGGCAGCTTGGAGAAACATCATATCCTCAGGGCACTGAGGCAACCACAATAGCACAATTAAAGAAGCTTATGAGAGAGGACTTTAAGAACTGCTTCAGAAAGTGCCAAGAATGATAGAACAAATGTGTTTAGAGTAGGGGAAAGATTTTGAGGGCGATCCACGGCAATGTGTCTTTTACTGTAACTTATTTTTTAAATTTAACATTCGCTATATTTTTTGGCCACCTATCTGCATGCCCCGGGAGAAAAGAGCTGTGTGCATGGATGACTGACAGGGCTGCCTCCCTGGAGACTCAAGCTTTGCCCAGCTACCATCTGGTTCAAACGCCAAGGTGGGTGGCGGTAAGTGCACGGTGGTCTCACCTCTAGGAGAGCAGCATGGATTCCAAGTGCACCAGGGCAGGCAGAGTCCAGCTCCCTGATGCTGACCCTCCAGTGGCCTTCAAGCTGGAGGCCTAGAAAGAGATCCTGTGCCCATGACCCTGAATCTTGGAGCTTCCAGCAGCCCAGGTGCCCTGCCCTGGTGCTGCAGCTGGGTGGCATAGCACAGTTCAGCTCAGAGGGCTCATCCAGGGCCAACTCCCTACCAGTGATGATACCAAGCAAGCAGAGCTGGTCCTCAGGCGCACACACAAGCACCCCAAAGCTGCCTGGAAGCATCGCGGGCTGGGGAGGCAAGTCTTCCAAAGAATGGAATATTTGCAAAGAGCGTGGCTGGAGCTCATAGCCTTCAAGGGTCAACTTACTGCAGTCGCTTCTGTACTCTGCCTTGTGATGCAAGTGTAGTCAGAACGTGGACTGTTTGAAGGTGGGGAATTCTGACACTGGTATCAAGTGGATGCTAAAAATATAAACAGCAAAGTGTGCACGTCTCTGGATTGTATCGCTGGTCAGTTTCCACTCCCATCATTGCCTACATGATGCAACATAAGAACAACAGCATTCAAGTGCTGTGGGAAAAATGTGCCTCAAGACCCTGCCTTTCTCTGAGAGCCCCTCAGGCACCACCCACACTAGCATACCACAGCCCCGCCCCCTTCTGGCCCTCTAAATTTTGCCCTCCCTGGATAAATGATCTTCTACCCTGGACCCTAACTGCACCCAGTGTGTGCACCACCAGTACAGAGTGGTCACTACATGTGAGATGCTCCAATCCAGCCATTGCTGCAGCCTCAGGGGAAAGGAAAAAGAGCACGCAGGGCCCCGTAGATCTTCAGCATTTTAGACCAATCAGGATTACAGAGCAAACTTTTGCACTTACCTTAGAAATACCAAAGTCTGCCCACCCCAACCCCCGTGACGCCAGTGAAGCTGCTGGCTCTAGAGGACACATGTGTGACCCAAGCTTCATACAGGGACCATGACAAAGGAGCTGACTGGTTTCCACATGCCTGAACATTGGCTCACACCAGGCTACTCTGAGGACTGCATGGCAAGTGAGATTCGCAGAGCTAACCCCACAACTTGAGCACAGAAGAGTCCAAAGGAGAACTCAGGTCTCTCAGCTTTTATGAACAGCTGTATTTATTTCTCTGCTCACTGTTCCCAAGCTTTGAGAGATCACAAAGCTAGGGGCTCTTCCTAGGACATGATGTGCTGTGCCTGGGAGGTGAACTGACAGCCTACAGATCTTATCTTTATGGGACCCCAGAGGCAGGGTGAAATCAACTTATTTTGGACCCTTGACATTTTGTGGCAGCTTTGGCATCACTCATAGATCCTGTTTTCTTATGTATTCATGCTCATGTTTGACGGGATCATTTTCAATAACAGGGAATCCTAAAATGTAATATCTCATAGTGAGTCACACTAGGACTCTGTTTGAAATCTTTATTAGCTGCATCACAAATTCTTGATTCATTTACCACACGAAGTAAATTAATATCAGATTTGATCATGGCATGATGAACTCTAAGTCATCCACAGCTACATAAAGTCTATCACTTGCCAAGTTCCAGTAGCTGTGTTGGTAAAACGACTGTCAGACCTTGACATCTACCAACCCTGAACATTCCAATTGCTGGCACTGCCATGAGGGAGACCATCCTTCCAAAGCATGCATACTTAGACACTTCTCCCTGCTACTTCACCGAGTAGGAAGAGGACAAAGTCAGGTCTCCCTCTCTGCTGTCCTATAGCAGAAAAGGGCCCCCCCCCTTCTTCTTCCCCATATACTTTAGTTTGTTAGTTGCCCAGGTAACAGTTCTGGTTACAGTTCCTGTTGCTTTTGTTTCTTGAAAACAGCAGGTCATTAGCATGCATAGCTGGTTGCTATGGTGCATATTGTAAGAACCAGTCAAAGACAGCCCAGTACTCTGCCTTTGTACTTCCCCTTGCAGACTCCATAAAAACCTCACTCTCCAAGCCTTCAGGGTCTGATATGTTGGGAATAATCCCGATCAGTGCCTGCCAGTGTGAAATAAATCTGCCTCCATATCCGGGGTGTTGCTTCCATGTTTCTGCAGGCCATGTCAGTCTCAGTGACCTGTACAGTCGGCTCCCTTCTGCAGGCAAGAAAGTCACAAAGTGAACACAACACCTTGGAAATTGTACAGTGCCCTGGACTGAGGACGTCTGGTTTTCTGTGATTCTCCTGGAGGTTCAGTAAGCATTTTCTCACTTTGACCTTGAACTTTTCTCCAAAGGGAGCCAGCAGGCTCCAGAGTCGAAGCTCCAGATTCATGATGAGCACACTGCGGGTTCCTGACTTTATGCCGCAGTGTATTGGTGCTCACTTTTAGGGGCCTAGACCCCCCCAGCACCGAGCTCCCACAGCCTTTAACCTCCTGCTACAGATTCCAAATCACTGACGTGACCGGGCCTCCAGAACAAAGCGTGCGGCTGCCTCAGACCACAAGAGAACCAGGCCTGGAAGGAGGCCCTTCTCTGGCAAGGGGAAGTAGAAATCACTGAGTCTTTCTGGGGCTTGGCTGTTCCAAGCCTCCCTCACAGATTGCAGCACCTACTCAGAATCTTCTAGCATTTGAATCACAGCTGATCCCTTGGTGCCCAGGGTGGCTGTGCCTCTTCGCTTTGCCGTGTGACTGTGAGCAACCCTCTGAGAGGTTCTACTATAAACTAGGTACTTACCACTGAGTCTCTGGCTGTACTCACTTGTCAGCTTGTCATGATCATACTTACGAAATGTTTGTCACTTGACTGCCGGCGCATTAGAAAGGCCGGGCATCTCCAAGATAGCTCGGACTTTGAACCTGAAAGTATTTTTTGAATTGCACTAATTTAATTTTCTACAAAGGACTGAAAGCTTCTGATAAATCTAACTAAGAGGAACTCCTATCTCACTATGTATTTATAATGGTATAACTTAGCCCATAGTTAATTTCCTACTTTTTTTGTTTAGGTAAAGAAAATATCTTTGTTTCCTAAAAACTATCTAATCATTGAAAGGTTCATTTGTATGTTTCCTGACAAATATCTTTTGGGTATGAGACTTTCATTACTCATTTTTCTGCAGTCAAAAAATTTGATATTCCTTCTCGATACATCATCTTCGTTTTGAGGTGCAATATATTTCTTTAACTGTGAAACAGGAATACTAATACTGACCTCCAATGGAATTTGAAAGAATTCATTGAGATCATGGACACACATCACTTGCCAAAAGCTTGTGCCATACATATAAGCGGTCCCCTGCTTTGAGTACTTCCTGTAACAAGAATATAGTCCACCTACTCCTTTCCAATGTCTGTTAAATTACCTGGGGATGCAAGAGAGAGTAAAAGCCGTCCTTTGAAAACCAAGACTGACAAGGATTGAACCCCTACCAATAGCGAGATTGGAGTTTGGACAAAGTGGGCACATTAATCACTCACGGGCTCATAGATGAGGAGATGTCACCATTATCCCCATTATCTGCAGAGACAGAAATATAACTCAAGCAAAATGCACTCCATGTGTTTGATGTGAAACATTAAGTCTGGTTCAATTTCCCCATGATAAAGATGAGTACATTTTAAAATAGACCATTATGGGAAGCAGGAAGAAAATGTTTGAGACCACAGGACAGGAACCATCGTAATACACAGAAGGAGGAAAAACGTACCTCCGAAAGGAACAAATAGGAGCTCGACCTCTTCAAATCTATGTAAGAAAATAGAATCCGTGTGTAGGAAAGAAAGAAAATGGGAGGATAGGCTGAGATTTAAAACAAACAAGATGAGAACTTGAAAAGAAGTTGAGAAAGATCACAGAGAAAAGAATAAAAAACAAAAGTGCAAACACAATTAAATCCTCATGGTAAGCAGCAGAGAGTAGAATCAGGGCTGCAAAATCACACTCAGGAAGGCCAAGAAGGATTTGTGAAACTGTCAGAATGCAGAGAACCAGGATGCAAAGCTAAAAGTGACACCAATCCCATAGGCGTCTCTGAAGTGCAAGAGATGCCTGTGTTATTACTAAGGATGTAAGTGCCGAAGATGCTCCGCGGGGAAAGAGGAAATTTGGCTGCTCAGAATGTCAGCATTGCCACCTGCTCTAGTAAGATCCATGAAAATCAGTCCTCACCTATGTATTTTGGGGGAAATGTTTGAATCTCAATAATAAATTTTAAAAGTACTCCTTACAGCTAAGTTATAGGCAAGGGAGTAACAAGGAGGCTGGCCTCCGGAAGCTAAGGAATACTGACAGTGAGAATTAAGATTTCCCTACAAAATTCCAAAGAGGGAAAAGGTGATGTGCACAGGCTGGGGCCATAGCTTAGTGGCAGAGCGTTGCCAGCATGTGAGAGGCCCTGGGTGGACCCATCCCCAGTGCTGCACAATGAGGGGAAGGAGGGAGGTCAAGGGCAGTCCAGCATCTTTTACATGGGGAAGTAACTCACAGAGCACCCCAGTTTCCAGAGCATCGATGTGACCTCACTGAGCAAAATGACTGAGAGTAATCAAATTAACAACCTGAAATAACTGTGCTGTCCTCCGTTCTTCCGTGTTGTGGGTGAGTCCTGCACTCCAGCTAGGCTCAACCCTGTGGATCTCCTCACTTCTGTCCAAGAACAGGAAATATCTTCACTTTGTTTAGAGGAAAACTCCTTGCAGCCAATGACCATGGGTGCCACACCTATCCGTCTCTTGCTCACAGTGACAAAATGTTTCTCACAGTTGGAACGCTTTGTCAGGAAAATGTTCAAATACACGCTTCGAAGCGGCTCTGTGTGGCAACACAGGGGATCAATGCTCATTGCACATGGACTGGAGCGATTTTGCATCTTGCAAAGTTGTGCCCTTAATTAACCAGATCATTAACCTAATTGATAAAGATCAGAGGCAGATATTCTTTCTGTGTCATCTTCCTTCCAGAACCTATGAATCTCCTTCATTGAGTACGCTTAAAAATCAAACAGGCAATATGATCTTGATACAGAAAAAAAGCTGTCAGGACCTATGCCAAATTACTGGCTATTATCCATAACTAGTAAGTGATCGAAAATCTCTTCTACTTTTAGGACACACAATAGATTTTATTGTGTATCTCTTGCAGTGTTGTATTTATCATCTGATCATGACCATACAAGAACACATGTAACTCAGAAGGATTATCAGCAAATCCTTTAACAAACTCACAGCAGTGATGTCTAGATGATAACATGCAGAATGTGACAGGAGGTGATAGCGTGTGAAGGTAACACGATTTCCATATTTCAAATTTTTCTCTTATAAGCCCCCAAAATGTTGAGAACATCAAGAATGAAGACGCTATGGAAAGCTTCACTTTTCATGGTCTTGTGAAAGACCCTGCCCAGATGATGGTGAAGCCTCCTCCACCCAGCCTGGGAGGTCCCTCCAGAAGCTGCCTCTCCCTCTGGTCTCCTGTGAGGTCAAGATGACATCCCAGATCTCTTGGCCAGCAACTTCCAGGAGCACCGTGGAAGTGCTCACAAGCTCTGAGAGGCTTCCTCTGAGGCTCCAGAGGAGCCTTTCCTGGCCCCACATGGCTGTCCCCCTCCACAAAGGGCACCCAAACTTCAAGATGTGAGGGGTCAGCACTGGAGTCCATGGCCTGACTGT